ACACTCCTTTTCAAATAGCCAATGGTTAAAGTTTCAACCCCATGCCAGAATTAACCCCAAACGAACCAACAATCCCATCACTGAAAGAATGGATGGAACAATTACAAGACACCTGGCCAATAGTTAGAAAAGCACTAGATGAAGCTAGGCAGGCATACAAAGCACAAGCCGATAAAAAAAAGGGCTGAGCCTACACCATTCATTATAGGAGAAATGGTGTACTTATCTACAAAATACCTAAAGTCCCTACAGTCCTGTAAAAAACTTGGACCAAAATATATAGGGCCTTTTCCAATTAAAAGAATCATAAACCCAGTAACAGTAGAATTAGAATTACCCAAAAATCTCAGGCAAATACACCCAATTTTTCATTGCAGCTTGCTGAAAAGAAAGCATCAGTCACCTTTATGGTCAAAAATCCCCACCACCACCACCACCTCCAATCATGGTGGAGGGCGAACAACATTTCGAAATAAAGGAAATCCTCGACTCTAGGAGATATCATGGAGCGACTCAGTACCTAGTTGCCTGGAAACACCTCCCTGCCTCACAAAACGAGTGGGTCCATAAACGTCATGTCAGAGCCCCGAAGCTATTAAAGAAGTTTCACACAGAGTATCCTAACAAGCCTGACTAACTTTTATAACTGATTTGTTTTCTTTCAGGTGGATCTGTCTTTTTTTAAAGGGGGCAGGATGTCAGAATCCAATTATATTTCATCTCTAGTTATCAACTATAGAAAATACCATTTCTGCCTTCTCTGGATTCTGTCATACAATGAAGGGAAGGGGGTGAACAAAGGGGCTTTATGGCCCTCACTTCCTTCGGTACACTTCAAAGAAACTGGATGTGTATATCACCAAAAGGACTAACCATAACAATGGGGCTATTACCTTCATGTAGTTCTCTCTGAAGTCTCCATCCAGCTGGCAGTAAGGAAAAGGGGGTGGGATTGTAATGCCTGAGACTGTCGCTGGAAGGGGGTGATTGGGTGGGGCTACTGGGGAACCCCTTAAAACCTTGAATGGGAGAGCTTGGACCCCAAGTCCTATCTAGAACGCCTGCAACCATTTTCTCTTAATAAAGGATGCCTGTTGGAAGAATTATTCCAAGAGTTCTGTCTTCTCAAGATGCAAACTGGGGTGAGTCCTTACATTGTGGGAGATCTGACTGTGTCTGTTACAGAGGCTTTTGTGAGAGTAGAGGATCATTGCTTTTGAAGAAAAATGGCTATATTTCTTTTCAATGCCTCCAATTCATGTTTTATGGCTGTAAGATGCTCAAATATTGAGAAAACAGTTTGTGCTGTGAGGAGGCATTGTTCTGCCATAAAGTCAGTTGGATTTTCCCATGGTAGCTCTTTATGTTCTGATCTTTCTTATTATTTTTCGGCTTCGTTTAACTCCCATGGAACAGGTACCCGGGTTGGTTACTTGTAGTGGTGACTGGCTATCATTTTGCTCTTCCCCAAGAAATGAGGAAAGCTCTAATAGTTTTTGTTTTGCCAGCTCTGTTTGGAAGTCCCATTCTAGTGCTTCAAATCTGTTAGATATGGGGGAGAATTTTTTTAAATTAAACTTCTTTTCATGAGAAGTGCTCCTCAATTCTTGGCTGTTTTGCAGAGTTTAAAGGAGGGAGATGTCCCGGTCTAATACCATGGCACTTCTTTCTTTTCCCCATAACTTTTCCCCATAACAGTTCAAGACAAAATCCGTTATCTATGTATTTGTCTTCACTATCGTCTCATCCAAACAAAGTTAGTTAAGTAAAAATAAGCTAATTATATAATAAAATAATAAAACTGAGCAGAGCTGCTGTAAATGTATGTTGATGGGCTGACAGTTCAGGCTCCTCCTCTTTCTGATAAGTGATATAAACAAACATGATTTTTGGATGTTGTACAATGAAAAGTCAATCTTTTGAAGTTCTTCATAACCAATATTTTCCAAATGCCTAATATAGGATGTTACAAAAAACACTGACCCACACACTGCCTCTAGAGGAGACCCTCCATTCGAGCCATGGAATTGGGTTTGAAACCAGCCATCCACTAAAAAGCCACCATGCAAATGGTGTGGAACAGATCTTCCCAGTGCTACATCACTCAGATGCCTGTGAAAGCTGCAGAGAAAGGAAGGAGTCCTGGAACATTGGTCCCCCTGTGAAGCCTCAGAAGACAACTAGGAAGACTATGGGGGGAGGGCAGAAATTCATTGTAAGGTTTTCTTTCTTGCCTCATTTGTATTGTAATAAGCCAGTTGAATGTATTTATGAAGGAATGGCATTTGGGAATAGTTGGCACAGCAAGTACTGAACACCTTGGATTTCTGTCTGGTGCGAGGCAAATTTGTCAAGGATATTTGTATTACATGTTTTGTAGAAGTAGCTGCATGCACATATGCACACATACCATTCAGAATCACACTAAGGCTATCCCCTTCACCTACCTCCATGTAAAGCTTCTTAGACTGGTTCTTGCTCTGTGGCATTAAAGCTTTGCATGCACAACTTCCAGAAAATTCCAAGGGGGAGGTAACCAGGCCCCTCAGGCTATTTGCAATTCATATGCTCTCACTGAGGAGGTAGCAGGAAAGAGATCTCCAAAACCCAAGCCCTGAATATGTTGCACTGGTGGACTCACTGTGTGCAATTTAAAAAAAATATTAATAGCCTGGCTTGCACACTGGCTAACCTCAATTGGACATCACAAACCTGGATGCACTGACCTAAGAGCTAAGGCAGGAAACAACACTTGAAAATGGGCAGTCAGTTGTTATGTACTGAGGCAAACCATGGCTGTGAAGAATTTTGGAGAAATGTGCAAACCTGACCGGAAGCTCAAAGTGGCATCAAACATTTAAAATAATTGGCACAGAATATTGGACACTATAAATTTCTTTTCAATCTAACAGAACTTTTGCCCTGACTTTTAGACCTTTATGGGTTGGAAGCTCCTCTTTTGGGAGTCATTGCAGGGATCTTTTCTGCTGCCTCTATTAGTGCCTTCCCTTTTTGCATTGAGTTTCAATGTTTATTTATCAAGTCTCCCTGACCAGATCAATTTTTAATCTTGTGCCAGTAAAAGTGTGTCACTCACACTCTTATGGCACAAAGGGGGGGTTATTGTGGGAAGAGTCCAGAGAAAGTAATATTTTGGGGAATATTAAAAAGGCAGACTATATTTCCCCAAAGGAATAATAGAGAAGATCTTTAAAAAGACAGAAACCAGCCCCAGCCCTTCTCCCCCAAGCAGAAACTAGGCAGAGGCCAGCTTTTAGAAATGCAGGTGTAATAATCCATTCAGGAAGGTTGGAGCCAGGAAGCTATTAGGAAGACAAAGACACCTAAAATTTACATACACCCACCCAAATTCTAAGGACAAGAGACATAATAAGCCACCAAAAGGACACACTCAGACTCAGGTCAAAGTACGTGACACAGGAAATACAAAACCTCAAATAGGAAAAGGGAAAAACTTCAAGAGCCCCAGAAGGTATAAAAGCCCAGTGCTCCCTGCATGTGGTCAGTTTTTGCAGAGCTATCATTCTGTCTGGCTCTCCTCTTCAATAAACTACAACCTTCTTTCTGATTATTCTGATTATTCCCAGCTTGGACTGGACCCTAATGAAGATTTTTCCTTCAACAGTATGATGAAGTAAGGCCAGATTTTTTTTCATATACTTCATACATTTCAATCAAAACAGCATATTGCGAAAGAGTGAATGAAGAAACAGGTATGAAAATCCAGCTGTCTTCTATTAAGCCAGAGATTTGCAAAAATGTAAAACTTTTTTTTATTTTGAAAAATATAGTTATTTTTCATTTAAAATATGTTATTTATATTAACATGTAATGGGTTTATTGTTATGTTAAAATGAATACTTTTTAAAAAATTACTCAATTTTAATTTCTAATTTGGTATTTATCAATAGACATAGTCCACAGAAACAAAATCTTTTTGATGTTCCCAATAATTTTTAAGAATGTAAAGGAGTCCTGAAGCCAAAAGATTTGAGGCCTAGGCTGCCTTTTTATTCCTGTAGTTCCTATAGTTGGGTTTGCTTGCTGAGGCCTAGTATGAAGTGTACAGTGGAAATTTTTCCTACTGGGAATAACTACCTCCCCTTCACCAGAAAGATTCCTGGCTGTTCTTTACTGCCCAACCTCTTTGAATCACAGAACTGTGGAATTAGACCACAAGGATTATCTAATCCTATTCTCATCAGTTCACAGGGAAATCAATTAAACTGATTATGTGCCATCAAATTATTTTCAGTTCTTAGGGAGCACATAGATAGCTTTTCTCCAAGATGATCTGTCCCTAACTTGTTTTTTCAAGTCTCCTAACAATTGCATATATAGCTACTGTAAGAGAATCCATCCATCTTGCTACAGGTCATCCTATTCTCTTTTCTCTTTTCTTCCTTCTTTCTCAGAGAGGTGAGAATTTGAGCCTGGCCATTTGTGCCTTATGTGGGAACTCTGGGTTGATTTGTTTGACGATCCATTGGCTTGTTTTCTGACTGTCCAAGTATTCGCAGGAGTCTTCTCCAACACCAATGAACTCAAGGTGTCAATACAATGTACAGGAAAACCAATAAAACTACCTTCTTTTCTGGAACTGGAGAACAACAACCTACCTAGGCAGACTTTTATATGATTTTACAGACGTTACCAGCAGCATATTTTTCAGCATGCTGCAACTTTTTTCCAATTTGGGGGGGCTAGTCTCTGTGACAATGGAAAATAGTTCCTAGCCATCTTTTTGTTATTCATGAAAAGCCTGCATGAAACAGGATTAATCTTGATAAGGAACAACATAAAGCAGAACAGTATAAGCAACAGAATACTAGAAGACAGATGAAAATTTCAAAGTATATTTAAATACTACACACAATTTTATTAAAGTGTACCTAGTTTTTAATCTGTAAACGTTCTAATAGTATTGGCCTAACATTGTCGTGTGTATTAATTTTTGTATTAAAAAAATCTATACTCACGCGTAAGAAAAATGGAAACTTCTTCCCATAAAATCCAACTCTGAAAAACTCAGGCTCCAAACGTTGCTGATCCATAATTTTATCATATAAAGAAGCTTCCATCAACTATGTGGATTTAGATAAATAAACAAATGAAAAAGAAGGACAGTTTGTGTATTTTTTGTGTACTAATCAAAAGAGCAAAACAAAAAATATCATTCAACTTGATTTCCTACAGATATCAAAAAATGATTTCAGTCCAATGGTACTAAAAATGGTACTAGAGAGAGTTTTAGATTTATTAAAAGAAACAGCATTTGTTTGGCTCCTCCTTCACTTTTTTCTCTTTTGATTTGTACTATGGTGTTGTGCGGATTCAAAGGTTCAGCTGAAGTACTCCTTCAAAGCTATTTCACAAAGTGCTATGGCATAACAGCAAAGTGTTACTTCGTGATGCAAAGTGTTACATCATGTTAATTTAACTTTATTTTGCTTTGCACAGCTACAGGAAATATTAAGGAAGTGCTGACCTACTCCAGACTGTTTGCCAAAAGGTTTAGTGAACTGCCTAGAAGCATTGAATGTTGCACCCTCTGCTATGCTTGCCAAAGGAGGACGAAAAATGGTGCCATCTTTGACAAGTGTTACAGAGGCCATCTAGTCACTTCCTCCAGATTGCTTATGCAGAAACGTTCAGCAAGTACTGCAGAAGATGTGCCATTCACCTTCTCCAAACCATTAACTGAAATATTTTGTTGAAATATTATAGAAGACATAGCACACAGCTCCTCCAACATAGTTTGCATCAATCTTTAGGAAGCTGTATCAGAAAACACATTAGTCTACCTTCTTTGGTTTGTGTTTGGGTGCAATGCCTGAAAAAAAAACCTCTCTTCTATTTTTGGCAAATGACATAGAATGTGGTGAGCAACTTTTTAATCAAAATAACTCAGATTGATTTTGTGACTGTGGTCTAGACCTCAGATTTCCTAGCTCTAAAGTCACTGGTTATCAGATCACTTGTGTATAAAGACAGGAGCCCAGTAAGGTGCTGCTCAGTTGCCTGTAGATTGTATAGCAAACCACCTTGCCTCTGAAGATGCCAGCCATATTTGTTGATGAAACATCAGAATTTCTGTTAACGAGACAACAGTTGCTAAATCCTTAAGCCCAACACTGCCCAACAGATATCAGCCATAAAAGCCTACACCCATATAATCCTAGATTCACTTGCACAAACCTAGTTTGTTTATTCATTACATTTTTAAAACCACCCAATAGCTGAAACTCATAAAATAAATACTCATAGATACTATATCTTAAAACAAAAGTCACTATTACATTCTTAGTTTCAATCACAGAAGATGAATAAATTTTATATCTCTGTTTGATTATCAATATCTTATTCAGCTGGAACCGACAAACCAAAATTAATAAGATAGACACATTGGGCATCACACAATATTTTTGCCTTTTTTAGGTTGTTATTGTTCTTTTTATCTACTTTTGCTTTAAGGGATTATCTTAAATTCAGGGCTGTCCTCACTGTGGGTAAAAATGTAGTCTAATTGTGAAAGACTGTACTGTGTGAATAATATTTATATTTAAGAAATCCAATTTCATTACCCGCATCTTGCTGAGATTTCTGTAGTCATAATAGTTTTCATATTGCTCAGCAATCTTCCTGCATAAAATAATACCATTTTCCCAGCACTGTAGACAAATAAGAAAGAGAAATTTTCACCAAAGAGAAAAATCTGAAGGTTTTTATCTGTTCCAAACAAATTTTCAGTTGTCTCCTGTTAGCAGTTCAGTATCTACCTTAACAATCACTAATATTATCCCAAAGGAAGACGACAGCTGCTTATGAAAATTGATGATACATTAAATATGATTAAATTTCACTCACAGATGCTTAGAACAACAGACTTGCCGTGTACCTAGACTGTCTCATCCCATGTACTACTGAATACCATTGGCAGAACTGTGTACATAGCCTTATTCAACTATCTGGTATATGTAGCATACAGGAGAGTCAGAAGATACCACTAATGCTGGTTTAAATCACTTTGCTCCCTATTAGGGCCAAAATTTTAATACACTTTGATTAGTATTTGCAACATGCTGTGTCAACTGCTCTGTCTACATTAGGTTTATTAAAATATACATGTTTAAGCAGGGGAGTATAGGCTATGTCCATATGATTAATATTTCTCACAAGACCCAATTCACTGCAAGGACAGAGTAATTCAATTCTCCTCTACATATAGGTTTTTTTAAAAAGATATTCATCTTAAAACATCCCAAACAGAGTTTAATGTAAAAAAATAATATTTTTCTAAAGAGCATACTACCATTATAGAGGAATCACTTTTACAGTACAAAGAATCTCAAGATCCATCCCACTCTCTATGCATCAGTGCGACTGTTAGGGAAGCATTACATAAAACTGCACAATGATCCAAGAACTGGGAACAGCTGACACAGAAGACTGAGTGTTAGCAGGAAATGGGCAGGGAGCAGGGCAAATGACATTGCATGCGTCATGACATTGTACAAATATATAATAATAAAGTTGGAAGGGACCCTAGATGACCTCCAAGGTCTCTTCCAACTTTATTATTACTATTATTATAATATTTGAGTCATGTGATGCAAGTCTATAACTCACTTATTTGCAAAATGATGGTGTCATGTTGATGTCATTGTGGCTTCTACCAGATCCCTATGCATGGAAAACCATATATGAAACTGGTATTCATTTATCAAGATATTTGTAATAAAGCCTCTACTTATCTACCTATCACTTCCATGGAAAGAGGGAGGAAGGAAAACAAAATCAAAGATATGGTCCCACAATCTCTTTCTTATCCTTCACACTGAAAGAGGCCAGAGCCTGGCAATTAACTGTGTAAATTTTATAAAACAAAACTAGATCCCAAGAAAAGGCTTTTAGTTACAAAAGGTATAGGAATAACCACAGGGCTTTTCAAAAAATCTTACTATGAATTGCTTCTATAAGACTGTTCAGTTTCCAAAGTAATTCCAAATTAAATTGCACATACTGGCATCAGTTATGTACAAGCCCAAACCCTTGTAGAAATAATGTGTGACTCTTCAATCCCCATTCATCAAGAGCTTAGAATACAGCAGAAATTAAAAAACCAATAAAATATATTAAATCCATAATCAAAACCTTATATTTTAGCATTATAATTGGAGCTCACAAGCTTTTTAGCTAAGATAGTCAAACTTAAAATATACTTGGTTTTTATTGATGTAGACCAGGGGTGTCAAACTTGCAATGTCACGTGGTGTGTTGCGATGTATTGTGACTTTTTTGCCATTACCAGCAATGGGGTGAGCGTGGTTTTGCCATGACGCATCCGGCCCACGGGTCGACAGTTTGACACCCCTCATGTAGACCCTGCCATTTTAAGAATATCATAGAATTTAAAAATATATAATTCAGCTCATAAATCAGTACAACAGGGCACAGTAGCTACAAATACAGGTAGTCCTTTAGTTACAAGTGTAATGGAGCCTGCCCATTCCACTCATAACTCAAAAACTCGTAGGAATGAATCTCGTACTGTTATGTCCCGAGCCTTGCAAACGGCTCGGGCGTTTGCAGGCAGTCCCAGGCAGGTGCAAAGCTGCCCGGGACCAGACAGGCTGTCGCCAGCGCCGTGCGCATGCGCGGGTGCTGGCGCGGGAAAAGTATCACATTTACCCGGGAAGCGTCTATATAAGAAGCTGGGAGGTTTTGGGAGCTGCTGAAGCCATCTACTTGTAAGCTGAACGCTGAATAAAGGAAACTGAGAACTTCAACTGCTTCTCGTGTCTACTTCCTGCCAAGGACTCAACCCTGGCGACGAAGGTGGGATGCCTTACACCGCCTGGAAAGGAAGAAGTGTAAGCTTACCCAAGTGAGTCCTGAGCGGCGGAACGGCGTCGACTCGGCAGCTACCCGCCAATCCAGTGCGCATTCGGGGGTAGGCTGGCTGATAGACCCGTCTTCTGAAGATGGTGAAAATCGGAAGGCTTTCGGAATTCGACGTCTTACATCCAGAGCGGTGGGAGTCATACGTAGCCAGGGTGGAGAACTACTTCAAGGCAAACCAAGTGAGGGAAGAGAGCTTGAAGGCTGCCACCCTGCTTTGTGTTTGCGGTCAAGACGCCTTCGACATCGCAGAAAACCTTGCAGCACCTGTTCCAGTAGAGTCTGTCAGCTACGCAGATCTGAAGAAGCTACTGAAGGAGCACTTCCACCCCAAGATGTCCGTCATCGCATGGCGCCACACCTTCGAGCAGAGGGATCAACGGCCCGGTGAGTCGGCCAAAGAATTCATCGCCGCATTACGGAAGGCCGCCAAGCACTGCGAGTTCAAAGACCTCGAAGAACGACTGAGGGACCGATTCGTGTGCGGGTTAAGGCATCGAGATCTACAACAAAGACTTTTCGCTAAAGAAGAATTGTCCTACCAAGATGCCTTAAGGGAAGTCACCGCAGAAGAAGCAGCAGGCGGCGCTGTCAAGAACATGCGGCCGATCAGAAACAGTCCAGAGGTTGCATCCGTGCACCAGGAAGACGTCCAAAGAAACTCCGAGGAGGATCCGGACGAGGAAGTCGACCGTCTCCACCCCACGAAGGAAGAAAAACAGAAGGGAAGCTCTTCAGCTCCGCTCAAGTGCATCGGCTGTGGAGGTCGCCACAGGAGAACCGACTGCAAGTTCCGCTCCGCTACCTGCCGGGCATGCGGCAAACAAGGACACATTGCAGCTGTGTGTCTGGGCCGACGAAAGGTACAACCTCTGGAAGAACTGCGCCTGAAAGGTACCAGATTCCCCAGCCAGAATAGGGTAGGTTTTTGCGCTTCGCGAAGAAGCATCTTAGGACAGGCACACACAAGCCCATTAAGAAAAAGCTGTCACTCAAGGTGAAGCTACAAGGGGTTCCATTATCTATGGAACTAGACACAGGGTCTGCCCTTTCAATTATCTCCTTGCATACATTTAGGAAGATTTGTTCCGGTAGTGGAACTCAGGCCAAGTTAAGGCCTTCTGACATTGTGTTAACAGATTTTCAAAATTCAAGAGTGTGTGTTAAGGGGGAGGCCACCCTTAACGTGCAATACAAGAGTTTTGAAGGTCCACTAGACTTATTAGTAGTAGGGGGTGAACGAACGAGTCTCATAGGACTCGATTGGTTTGAGGCCCTGGGGATACACGTCACAGGACTCAACAGTTTACAAACACTCGACCTACAGGAAGTCTGCAAAGAATTTGCAGATGTTTTCAGCCCCCAGCTGGGCACATTCAAAGGACCCCCTGTGTCCTTAAAGCTAGACCCCACTGTCACTCCCATTAGAATTAAAGCAAGAAGGGTCCCTTTTGCTTTAAAGAGTAAAATTGACACTGAGTTAGACAAACTGATTCAACAGGGAATCCTAGAACCTGTTGATTCCAGTCCTTGGGAGACCCCCATTGTCACGCCTCTAAAGGCAAATGGGGACATTCGCATTTGTGCTGACTACAAATGCACTCTGAATAAGGCATTGCAGCAACATGCCTATCCTGTTCCTGTGGTCAGTCATATTCTGGCCTCCCTCAAGGGGGGGCGCGTTTTTGCAAAGCTTGACCTAGCTCAAGCGTATCAACAGCTGCCTGTTGATGATGATGCTGCTATAGCTCAGACTATTGTGACCCACAGGGGAGCCTTTAAGGTAAAAAGGCTGCAGTTTGGAGTGAATGTCGCTCCTGGGATTTTCCAAAGCGTAATGGAAAACACACTACGGGGTATACCAGGGGTTTGCCCCTACTTTGATGATGTCTTAATTGCAGGAGACTCCACACACATTCTAGCTGAAAGGCTAAGGGCTGTTCTGTTAAGATTCAGGAAGTCAGGCCTCAAGCTCAAAAAAGACAAATGCAAGATTGGGGTGCCTTCTACTGAATTTCTGGGGTTCAAAATTGATGCTGCTGGGATTCACCCTGCTGAATCCAAACTAACAGCTATTTTAGAAGCACCTAGGCCAAAGTCCAAGGCCGAACTTCAGGCCTTCCTGGGCCTCCTGAATTTCTACAATTCTTTTCTTCCACATAAAGCTAGTGTAGCTGAGCCTCTTCACAGGCTACTAGACAAACAAGCAGTGTGGCAGTGGTCACATACACATGAGGCTTGCTTTAACAAAGTCAAGGCCTTGCTCACTTCTAACAGTGTACTTGCACATTTCAACGAATCTCTTCCTGTGTGCATCGCATGTGATGCGTCCCCTTACGGGGTAGGAGCTGTCCTGAGCCACCTCAGGTCTGATGGAACTCAGGTTCCTGTTGCATATTACTCCAGAACATTGTCTTCTGCTGAGCGCAACTACGCTCAGATAGACAGGGAGGCTCTGGCTGTTGTTGCTGGAATTAAAAAATTCCACGATTTTCTATATGGCAGGCATTTCACGGTCTTTACTGACCATAAGCCTCTGCTGGGACTGTTTACCACAGTAAGCAGACTCCCCAAATCATTTCCCCTAGAATGCTTAGGTGGTCTATTTTTCTGTCTGCATATGATTTTTCTTTACTCCACAAGCCTGGGAAAGAAATGGGCCATGCTGATGGCCTCAGTAGATTGCCTCTGCCAGTAGTAGAAGCTGACCCTGCGCCAGCTGTCAACATTCTATCAATCCAAGCCTTGCCCGAGCTCCCTCTTTGTGCCAGGGATGTTGCCGCTGAAACAGGTACAGATCACACACTTTCACGTGTCCGTTCCTGGGTTTTGTCCGGTTGGCCTGAGCACTGCCCTAGTCCTGAGTTTCAGAGTTTCTGGTCCAAAAGAAACGAGTTGTCCCTTTCTCAGGGTTGTCTGCTTTGGGGAAACAGAGTTGTCATTCCCACCTCAATGAGGACTAGGGTCTTAGAATCCCTCCACGAGGGTCATCCTGGCATTGTTCGTATGAAGGCTCTTGCACGCAGCCACTTGTGGTGGCCTGTTTTAGATAAGGATATTGAGGCTAAGGTGCATGCTTGCCACCTGTGCCAACGATCTCGCCCAGAGATGCTCCAAGCTCCCGTGCATAAATGGGAGGAAACGCAGTCCCCATGGTCTAGGGTGCACATTGACTACGCTGGGCCCTTTCAGGGCCAGTTCTTCTTGGTCCTTGTTGACAGCCATTCAAAATGGCTTGAGGTTGTACCTGTCTCTTCCACCACCACTGCAAAGACTATTCAGGTACTGAGGGGGATTTTTGCTCCACACGGGCTTCCAGATGTCATTGTGTCTGACAACGGCCCTCAATTCACTTCCTCCGAATTCCAAGCTTTCTTACAGGCTAACATGATTCGTCATGCCACGTCTGCACCCTTCCACCCGTCCACCAACGGTATGGCTGAACGTATGGTGCGCATCACAAAGGACGCCTTGAAAAGACTCACCTACGGGGACTGGCATCACAGGTTGGCTGACTTTCTCCTTTCTTATCGCACCACACCGTCCACTTCTACAGGGAGAAGTCCAGCTGAACTTCGTTGGGGGCGCCAACTTACTACTAGACTTGACCGGTTGCATCCGGACAGACTGCCTTCATCTACCTCACATCCTAGGGCACCTAGACAACTACTTGTGGGTGCCCCGGTTTGGGCTCGCAATTACGGGCCTGGTCATACCTGGGTCCCCGCTTCTATTTCCAGGGTCACAGGTCCTCTCTCCTACGAGGTAGCCCTGGACAACGGTCGTGTCCTGCGGCGGCACATCGACCAACTCCGCCCTAGGCGGGACTTTTCAGATGAGACTCCTGGGTCTTTTCCAGGGGGGGAGGGGGACCCTTTGGAGCAAAGGGAAGGGCACGAGCTGCTGCCCATCTCCACTGATGGAGCCACAAACGGCCCATCCCAGGGTTCCGCGAGAGCTCCGAACAAGAATTCTATGAGCCTACCTAACTACCAGGCATCCACGCCTACTCCAGCCAGGGAGTCACCCCGGGGGCATACTCACTTTCCACACACATCACACAGCACTCCAGTCACGGAGGATACCCGGGGGCATCCCAACAAATCATTCCCCGCAAGAGAGCTGGCACACAATCCCCAAGGTTGGCCTGACCTTACCCCAAATCCTACAGGGGGTCAAACATACAGGGAGGTGGTCGAGGAACCAAGTCCCGACTACAACACCTCTAGCCCAAATCAGGGAGTAACTGAGTTTTGGGAAAGTACAGAAACCCACACAAGCCCGGACACAGAACGGGGTTCAGGGAATGGTCAGCCTCCTGACAGGTCTTGGACGGACCTAGGAGGTTCAACAGAGACGCCCAGCAGTGGCTATCACTTCAAGGGGCCCGAGGGTCTACAGCTAGGCAGGTCAACCAGGTCACAAAGTGACAGAAGCCCTGGCCTGACGAGCCCGGTGGGCGAGCAAGCAGGCCAGGCATCGGGGCACAGTCCTTGGAAGGCACCAAGGCAAAATAAGGAGAACAGGCTCACATCTCCCTCCAGTCAGGGAACTCATGCTAGTAACCCAGAGCTGAGAAGGTCACAGAGAGCAAAGAAGTCTCCTAAATACTTAGAGGATTACATAACATTGATGGCTAAACAAAAGCCAGGTAACGATAGGAGCACTGAGAAGCAGAACACTGCATAAAATAAATGATTATATGTTGGTAGTAGTTTTAGCCCGGGGAAAGGGGTGTTATGTCCCGAGCCTTGCAAACGGCTCGGGCGTTTGCAGGCAGTCCCGGGCAGGTGCAAAGCTGCCCGGGACCAGACAGGCTGTCGCCAGCGCCGTGCGCATGCGCGGGTGCTGGCGCGGGAAAAGTATCACATTTACCCGGGAAGCGTCTATATAAGAAGCTGGGAGGTTTTGGGAGCTGCTGAAGCCATCTACTTGTAAGCTGAACGCTGAATAAAGGAAACTGAGAACTTCAACTGCTTCTCGTGTCTACTTCCCGCCAAGGACTCAACACGTACCTTGCTCTTTAAGACACACATGGCTCGTTAAGTGAACATGAGGTATTTCAGGGTGGGGAAGGCAATAGAGGGCCTAGTGATGGAACAGGCCCCCAAGGCCTTCCTGATCCACTATGTTACCTCATGCTTCACCCTCCCTTCCTGCCATGCCAGACTTATCTGGAAAAGATCCATCTCCTCTCTGCCACAGTTCCTGCTGCCACTTGGATTTGAGGCCGGGGGATGTTCTAAGGCCTTCCAGCAGCCCTATCCAGGCACTGGACACCTTTTCCAGGCCACTGCTGCCTGGATCAGATGCCAGGGGATGCTTCTGCGGCCCTCAGGTGGCCCAATCCTGGCACCAGAGCCCATTTCCAGGCTGCTACCCCCTGGAAATGGGCCACCAGAGGGCCGTGGAAGCATCCCCCGGCCTCAGATACGGGTGGCAGCGGCCTGGAGGTTTCCGGCACCCAGATTGGGCTGCCAGAAGACCATGGAATTGTCTCCTAGTTTTGGTTCCATTCTCTGTAGCAGTGAACAGAGGCCTAAAGTACCATGAGATCATGTGAGATCAGTAGTGTGAGATCTCGCCCCACTGATCTCATGTGATCTTGTGTTACTTTAGGCTTCCATTCTCTGCAAATGCACCGAAGGCCTGGAGCAGCCAAGAAAGTGAAGAATCTCAATCTTCGCAGGGTGAGTATTGAAGGCCTGGTGCTAGGGAGACCCAGGGTGGGGGTGGGGAGAGAGGGAATAACCAGGATGAATGTTGCAGTGCCACTGCAATCACTCGTAAGGATGGTGCTGCAATATTCATAATTTCAGGACTTGCTGGTAAGCGTTAGCGGACACTTATCACGTAACTTCAAACAAGCGTTAAATGAACGCTCATAACTCGGGGATTACCTCTATTGCAGGGGTGTCAAACTCAATTTCATTGAGGGCCACATCAGTATTGTTGCACTTGGGGGCCAGGTAGGTGTGGCTGGAGTGGGTGTGGTCTACAGGGTGGGCATGGCCAGCTCGATATCACTCGCTTCAGGGGTGCTTGGGCAGGACTGGGGCAGATCTGAGTGTCTCTGGCGGAGGAGGATGGGACTGGGGTGAGCGCTGGGACATGGTCCTTCCCACCCTACCTCCCTTCCTCTGTTCCTTCCTTCCCTCCCCCCTCCATTCCTTCCTCCCTCTGTTCCTTCCTTCCTTCCTTCCTTCCTTCCTTCCTTCCTTCCTTCCTTCCTTCCTTCCTTCCTTCCTTCCTTCCTCTGTTCCTTCTTTCTTCCCTCCTACCCTCCATTCCTTCCTCCCTGTTCCTTCCTTCTTCCCTTTTCCCCCCCTCCCTTCCTTCTTTCCTCCTTCCCACCCACCTTCCCTTCCTTCCTCCCTCCCTTGTTCTTTCCTTCACCTTCTCATCTTTTTCCTTCACTGTGCTCATGAAGGGGTGATGGGAGGGGAAGAGATTGCCAGCACTAATACGCTGCTGCCGGCCATTCCTATACCATGTGGGTTGAAAGGGATGCCTCGTGGCTTCGAGGCTAGAGGTGCTGGTGGAGGGGCGGTGCTGATCTACAACCTGGTTGTGTCCATCAAAGCCAGAACGCGCTCAGCCTAAGATCCACTTGAACCAGCAAGGAGCTGCCTCGCCACCTCTGCCCCACCCCCCGGGTGTGTGCACAGGAGACGGCCAGCGCTGGCATCCTGGGTGAAGTCAGCCTGCGGGACAAAACAGCCAGCAGGGATGCCAGACTCTGCTTGCGTGCACACCCAGGGGACCGGGCAGGGCTGTCCTGTGGATTTAACACTGAGCGTGTTCTGACTTTGATGGAGGCAACCAGGTTGTAGATCAACGCCCAGTCGGCCTGGGCTGGGCCAAGGTGCAGCGGGCTGGTCCTTCACTCTTTCCAGAGCAGATACCCGGGCCGGATGGAACCACATAGCGGGCCGCATCTGGCCCGCGGACCTTGTGTTTGACATGTCTGCTCTATTGGATCAGATATGAATCATCCTTGTTTTAAAAACAATATTACAATCTGAACTATTTGAACCTATCTGAAAGATATATATATTAAATGAAATATGTGTATGGGTTACAGGTTGAAATTTTCCCTAAACAGCCAACTTCAGATTTTATACTGTATGTGCAATTTAATTTGCATATCAAATATGATGTACCTCAAAGAATAGATGGCAAGCAATATTAATAATTAATTGTTCAAAAGAAGGCAGTCGCAAATAAGAAAAATAGCAACCAAAACTCTCTTACTTTTCCTCTGTCAAAATTCTGGATGATCATGAGATGAAGAAATTCTTTGCGCTGCCATTCTGTCTGCATGGGATAGTTCAGGAATTCCCTCAATGGTCTGTCGGACCATTCCAACAGTTCATCATACAATAAGAGTGTATAAGCAGCCTCTGTCAAGTTTCACAAATAAACATGAAACAATTTTAATATATACACAGTAACAGAAAAATATATATTCCAGAAACAATTGCTATATTACTAAATAATTTGCTCCTTGATGTTAAGACTGCAACTGCATTTAGATGTCAGGATAAAATAATGAGAATGAAACAAGCTTTGCCTATTCATGTTTCTCTCCTTTTCTGCAGGAGACCAGATGCTTTTGCTTCTGATTTTATTTAACTGTTATTTAGTAATACAAACACTAAACTAGTATTAATCTTGACAATGGATTATAGAACCAGAACAGTTTCATGAACTTGGTGTTTTAAGACACCTTGTTTCAGATAAATTATAGTTAAGCTTAGCCATATTTTGCAGAGCTTGAGTAACAATCAAAAGTAGAATTTCTGAACTACAACTCAAAATAGGAATAGCAGGAAGAGATAGAAAATGGGTGAGGAAGATGGATGGTTAAAAAGTTTAATAAATAAATATGAATAAATAAATTAAATAAATATATTAAATATAATATGCTAAATGCAGGTGGAGGTTAGTATAATGGAATATGTTGAGTCCGTGGCGGGAAAACAGACACGAGAAGCAGCTGGAGTTCTCAGTTTCTTTTATTCAGCGTTCAGCTTACAGGAAGATGGCTTCAGCCTCGCCCAAATGCCTCGCAGCCTCTTATATAGGCAACTCCCGGGTAAATGGGTTACTTTTCCCGCGCCAGCACCCGCGCATGCGCACGGCGCTGGCGACAGCCTGTCTGGTCCCGGGCAGCTTTGCACCTGCCCGGGACTGCCTGCAAACGCCCGAGCCGTTTGCAAAGGCTCGGGACATAACACCCCTTTCCCCCGGGCTAAAACTACTACCAACATACAACATTTATTTTATATGACATTTTGCTCCCCAGTGCTCCCACTGATTACTGGCTTTTGCCTTGCCAGCAATGTTATGTAATCTTCTAGATACTTAGGAGATTTCTTTGCTCTCTGTGACCTTCTTAGCTCTGGGTTACTGGCATAAGTCCCCTGACTGGAGGGAGGCGTGAGCCTGTTCTCTCTATTGTGCCCTGGTGTCTTCCAAGGACTGTGCCCCGATGCCTGGCCTGCTTGCTTGCCCACCGGGCTCGTCAGGCCAGGGCTTCTGTTGCTTTGTGACCTGGTTGTCCTACCTAGCTGTAGACCCTCAGGCCCCTTGAAGTGATAGCCACTGCTGGGCGTCTCTGTAGAACCTCCTAGGTCAGTCCAAGACCCGTCAGGAGGCTGTCCATTCCCTGAACCCCATTCTGTGCTCGGGCTCGTGTGGGTTTCTGTACTTTCCCAAAACTCAGGTGTTCCCTGATTTGTGCTAGGGGTGTTGTAGTCGGGACTTGGTTCCTCGACTAGCTCTGTGTATGTTTGACCCCCTGTAGGATTTGGGGTAAGGTCAGGCCAACCTTGGGAATTGTGTGCCAGCTCTCTTGCGGGGAATGATTTGTTGGGATGCCCCCGGGTATCCTCCGTTGCTGGAGTGCTGTGTGATGTGTGTGGAAAGTGAGTATGCCCCCGGGGTGACTCCCTGGCTGGAGTAGGCGTGAGTGCCTGTTGTGTGGGTAAGCTCCATGACTTTCTTTTCGGAGCAATTGCAGAACCCTGAGATGGGCCGTTTGTGGCTCCCTCAGTGGAGGTGGGCAGTAGCTCTTGCCCTTCCCTTTGCTCCAAAGGGTCCCCCTCCCCCCCTGGAAAAGACCCAGGAGTCTCATCAGAAAAGTCTCGCCTAGAGCGAAGTTGGTCGATGTGCCGCCGCAGGACACGACCGTTGTCCAGGGCAACCTCGTAGGAGAGAGGACCTGTGATCCTGGACACAGAAGCGGGGACCCATGTATGACCAGGCCCGTAATTGCGAGCCCAAACCGGGGCACCCACAAGTAGTTGTCTAGGTGCCCTAGGATGTGAGGTAGATGAAGGCAGTCTGTCCGGATGCAACCGGTCAAGTCTAGTAGTAAGTTGGCGCCCCCAACGAAGTTCAGTTGGACTTCTCCCTGTAGAAGTGGACGGTGTGGTGCGATAAGAAAGGAGAAAGTCAGCCAACCTGTGATGCCAGTCCCCGTAGGTGAGTCTCTTCAAGGCGTCCTTTGCAATGCGCACCATGCGTTCAGCCATACCGTTGGTGGACGGGTGAAAAGGCGCAGACGTGGCATGACGAATCAGGTTTGCCTGTAAGAAAGCTTGGAATTCGGAGGAGGTGAATTGAGGGCCGTTGTCGGACACAATGACATCTGGCAGCCCGTGTGCAGCAAAAATCCCCCTCAGTACCTGAATAGTCTTTGCAGTGGTGTGGATGAGACAGGCACAACCTCAAGCCATTTTGAATGGCTGTCAACAAGGACCAAGAAGAACTGGCCCTGAAAGGGCCCAGCGTAGTCAATGTGCCCTGGACCATGGGGACTGTGTTTCCTCCCATCTATGCACAGGAGCTTGGGGCATCTCTGGGCGAGATCGTTGGCACAGGTGGCATGCGTGTACCTTAGCCTCAATATCTTTATCTAAACCAGGCCACCACAAGTGGCTGCGCGCAAGAGCCTTCATACGAACAATGCCAGGATGACCCTCGTGGAGGGATTCTAAGACCCTAGTCCTCATTGAGGTGGGAATGACAACTCTGTTTCCCCAAAGCAGACAACCCTGAGAAAGGGACAGTTCGTTTCTTTTGGACCAGAAACTCTGAAACTCAGGACTAGGGCAGTGCTCAGGCCACCCGGACAGGACCCAGGAGCGGACACGTGAAAGTGTGTGATCTGTACCTGTTTCAGCGGTAACATCCCTGGCACTAAGAGGGAGCTCGGGCAAGGCTTGGATTGATAGAATGTTGACAGCTGGCGCGGGGTCAGCTTCTACTACTGGCAGAGGCAACCTACTGAGGCCATCAGCATGGCCCATTTCTTTCCCAGGCTTGTGGAGTAATGAAAAATCATATGCAGACAAAAAAATAGACCACCTAAGCATTCTAGGGGAAATGATGTGGGGAGTCTGCTTACGTGTGGTAAACAGTCCCAGCAGAGGCTTATGGTCAGTGAAGACCGTGAAATGCCTGCCATATAGAAAATCGTGGAATTTTTTAATTCCAGCAACAACAGCCAGAGCCTCCCTGTCTATCTGAGCGTAGTTGCGCTCGGCAGAAGACAGTGTTCTGGAGTAGTATGCAATAGGAACCTGAGTTCCATCAGACCTGAGGTGACTCAGGACAGCTCCAACCCCGTAGGGGGACGCATCACAAGCGATGCACACAGGAAGGGACTCGTTGAAATGTGCAAGAACACTGTTAGAAGTGAGCAAGGCCTTGACTTCTTTAAAGCAAGCCTCATGTGCTTGTGACCACAGCCACACAGCATGTTTGTCTAGTAGCCTGTGAAGAGGCTCAGCTACACTAGCTTTATGTGGAAGAAAAGAATTGTAGAAATTCAGGAGGCCTAAGAAGGCCTGAAGTTCGGCCTTGGACTTTGGCCTGGGTGCTTCTAAAATAGCAGTTAGTTTGGATTCAGCAGGATGAATCCCAGCAGCATCAATTTTGAATCCCAAAAATTCAGTAGAAGGCACCCCAATCTTGCATTTGTCTTTTCTGAGCTTGAGGCCTGATTTCCTGAATCTTAACAGGACAGCCCTAAGCCTTTCAGCTAGAATGTGTGTGGAGTCTCCTGCAATCAAGACATCGTCAAAATAGGGGCAGACCCCTGGTATACCTCGTAGTGTGTTTTCCATTACGCTTTGGAAAATCCCAGGAGCGACATTCACTCCAAACTGTAGCCTTTTTACCTTAAAGGCTCCCCTGTGGGTCACAATGGTCTGAGCTATGGCAGCATCATCATCAACAGGCAGCTGTTGATATGCTTGAGCTAGGTCAAGCTTTGCAAAAACACGCCCCCCCTTGAGAGAGGCCAGGATGTGACTGACCACAGGAACAGGATAGGCATGTTGCTGCAATGCCTTATTGAGTGTGCATTTGTAATCAGCACAAATGCGAATGTCCCCATTTGCCTTTAGAGGCGTGACAATGGGGGTCTCCCACGGGCTGGAATCAACAGGTTCTAGGATTCCCTGTTGGATTAGTTTGTCTAATTCAGTGTCAATCTTACTTTTTAAAGCAAAAGGGACCCTTCTTGCTTTAATCCTAATGGGAGTGACAGTGGGGTCTAGCTTTAAGGACACAGGTGGTCCTTTGAATGTGCCCAGCTGGGGGCTGAAAACATCTGCAAATTCTTTGCAGACTTCCTGTAGGTCGAGTGTTTGTAAGCTGTTGAGTCCTGTGACGTGTATCCCCAGGGCCTCAAACCAATCGAGTCCTATGAGACTCGTTCGTTCACCCCCTACTACTAATAAGTCTAGTGGACCTTCAAAACTCTTGTATTGCACGTTAAGGGTGGCCTCCCCCTTAACACACACTCTTGAGTTCTGAAAATCTGTTAATACAATATCAGAAGGCCTTAACTTGGCCTTAGTCCCACTACTGGAACAAATCTTCCTAAATGTATGCAATGAAATAATGGAAAGGGCAGACCCTGTGTCTAGTTCCATAGATAATGGAACCCCTTGTAGCTTCACGTTGAGTGACAGCTTTTTCTTCATGGGCTTGTGTGTGCCTGTTCTACAGATGCTTCTTCGCGAAGCGCAAAAACCTACCCTATTCTGGCTGGGGAATCTGGTACCCTTCAGGCGTTCTTCTTGGGGTTGTGCCTTTCGTCGGCCCAGACACACAGCTGCAATGTGCCCTTGTTTGCCGCATGCCCGGCAGGTAGCGGAGCGGAACTTGCAGTCGGTTCTCCTGTGGCGACCTCCACAGCCGATGCACTTGAGCAGAGCCGAAGAGCTTCCCTTCTGGTTCTCTTCCTTCACGGGGTGTAGACGGTCGACTTCTTCGTCCGGATCCTCCTCGGAGTTTCGTCGGACGTCTTCCTGGTGCACGGACGCACCCTCTGCACTGCTTCTGATCGGCCGCATGTTCTTGACGGCGCCGCCTGCTGCTTCTTCTGCGGTGACTTCCCTTAAGGCGTCTTGGAAGGATAATTCTTCCTTAGCG